TTTTTTTTTGGTGGTTTTTCAACTTTGTTCATTAACAATGAGTTATGAAATTGTTGGTTGTTGTTAGACAGCAATAAAGGGTGTTGTTGTACAAACTAGACCCAAAGATAAGGAGGCAATCAAGGCTTTATGAGGCATAATACGTTGCCTTAGAAGTGGAGAGAGAGCATGATACTTCTTGTGGTTGGAATGGTCCAATTGAGGATCAAGGATTGGTGTTTGGCGCTGAAGATGGTGATCAACGGACATGTATCTTCCGTACTAAGTGTTCGGTTGGGTGGTCCAATGAAGTTGATTTGGTAATCGATGGTGGATCGAGTACTGATTGTATAAGTGAGGAATTTTGCATAGCAAACGGAATCGAGATGGATCCGTATACTAGACCATACAAGCTTCAATGATTGAGTGAAGAGATGGTTGTGGATGTCACTGAGAAGGTCATGGTATCTTTTCAAGTTGGTGAGTATATGGATGAAATTTGCTTTAATGTAATTCCTATGTCTCTTTGTAATGTTTTGCTAGGTAGGCCTTGGGAATCAGATGTAAATGCTGTGCACCATTGCTCGAAGAATATCTTTGTCTTTACTAAAGAGGACAAGAAGTATATTCTTAAGCCTTTGGCTTATGAAGAAGCTGAGTTTGTGCGAGAGAAAAGACGTAAGATAACCTATACACAAGGGAGAGAAAAAGTCGAGAGTGATGCAAGAAAGTAAAAAGGGTCACGCTGAGTAAGACTTGAGGCGAGAGAAAACCATGAAAATAGTGTGGAAACAGAAAAAAAAAATACACGCAATGAGAGAAAATCAGAGTGTGGTGAGGGTGAGGATTTTACTAACCCTTATATCTCGTTTGTTCCTTGTGCAGGTTTAGAGGTTGATGATTCGATGATGTATCCTCTTAAAGAAGGAGGGGATGATGAGAATCATATAGCCTTCCATGGTGATTCTCCTAGTGAGGGGAATGAGCTAGTCCTTCATTCTAGTTTTGGAATACCAAGTTTATTTTGCAGACCAATCAAGAAAGAAAGAATGGATCTTGACTACCTATGTGATAGGGAGTTGGTTCAAGAGAGTTATGATCAAGGTGATGAGAATGTCATTAACTTTGGGGTGCAAACCAAAGGAGATGATTCACTCATGGAAATAAGTTCTCAAGAGTATCAAAGGAGTTTGACTCAAGGTGCTTCATGAAAATCATTGATCAAGCTAGAGAGAAGAGTCATTTAGGTTCTTGAATGGACGGCCTAATTGATCAAAGTGTTCAAGATTGAGTCCATTGATACACAATTGGATAGGTTGCAAACTATCTCAATTGTTTCAAGTGTTTTTCTAATCTTTTGGATTAAATAAAGAGAATTCTACAAGTTTTGGAGTAAATTGGAGTTTTTTACAACTTGAGGCGCAAGACCAATATTCCACTTTTGGAAGGGCGTTCAAGACAATTTACTTTAATATTTGGAGCTGATTTTAAGATTTAGAGTATTATCTAGTCTAGGAGTTTAATTTTTGAATTTATGTAGTTAAATAAGTCATGTGGACTGAATTAAAGTAGAGTGTTTTGATTAGGAGTCTTAGATTCCTTCTAAGTATTATCCTATTTGAGGATAAGTCATTTAGATAAGGTTTCCTAGATTTTAGATAGAGTCAAACAGATCAAATACTCTTCTACTTCTACTCCTGCGTGATATAAGATTAGAGAGTCCTAGTTGGTCTTCTTTTTTTGGTGCTTGGCTGAGATTCATAGCCTATAAATAGCGGGGGGGTATGGCCGAAAGTTAAAGCACCCTTGAGCGGTCATTTTTGTTGTCTCTAATGAGAGTTTTTCCTCTGAGGAATTTTTGTTAAATGGTGTGTCTATTTTTCGTGTCAAGTATGATTTAACCAAGATGTTTTCATCTTGTCTTGGATCTTTTAATCTTGCAGAAATCGTTCTTTTTTAAGTATGCTTCTTGATAGAATTGTTTTAAAACTAAACTTCTTATTTTCATACTATTTCTACTAGTTCGTTTGATGAGCCTTTCTTTTTGGTTGGTTTTCGAGTTCATGATGGGTAGGTTCATGAGTTCCATTGTGGGGTTTGTCCTAATTTTGTTGGATGAGTTGTGCTTTGATATAAGCATTTTGAGATAGTGTATATGTTGCATATCTTGGTTGGTTATGGAGATTAGTGTGACGATCGTCTTAGTGTGAATTTTCCGCACTTTTTTGAGTTTCACGGGATAGACAAATTATGTTCGTATTTTCTTGTTTGATGATTGTATTAATGAAATTTGATTTATCTACGATATTGCTATCAAGTTTCATCTGTAAGTCGGTCCACTTAAGAGGCCACAATTTCATGCATTGGCTTTTGCACAATAGGGGAATAAAAACTACTATAAGTTTTTCTTTCGTTGAAACGTACACATATATCACAGGCCAAAGCAAGTAACCGACTTTAGTTACATACACAATTAAACACATCAAGAACTCTATGCAAAGGAGCTGTTAAATGCATACGATCTTAAAACTCATACATTGCGCAAGGCAGTCGCAAGCTCCCCAAGACTGAAATTTGCAGTAGCAATGCACTCAACGAAAATGCCATTATGAAACCGGTGCAATGCCACATTTTTCTGAATGTACTCTGTCAGGACTTACTTTGTCAATCCAAGGCCACAAAACACTTTAGCGGCAGTCCTGTTAGCTTTGTCAAAGTTGCGCATGAACACCAGAGGCAGTCCCAATCTACAAATGAAACTTAACTTTGTAAGAAACAAGATTGAAAGAAAATCAGAACCAAAAAAGTTTCACTGAATTTTGCATTAAATAGTTTCAGTCAGGTCTTATACATAATGGAGGGGAATTTGAAAATCAGAACTAAAGTTTTCTTCAAAATTCAAAACCAAATAAAGTTACCGTTGGCAAATGAGGTTACAATCATCATCGGTGTACTTTGTGTTTCTTGACGTTCACAGCTCCTCTTTCCCTTTCATAGACACCCCGAACACCTTCTTCTTCCACTGGCTTAAAGACTTCATCTATGGTTCATAAATTTACTGGAATTTACATCAATGCAAAATATATAAGCTTCAAACTAATAAAGAGTACACATATTTAGCAGCTTCTTGCATCAATTATTAATTCACAAAAGATGTGCTTAGGGTTTTGAAATCGGCAATTAAGACTCAATTCATAATCAATTATTAAAGTATCACCACTAATTCAAGAGAAAATTCGGAAGAGGGGAATTTGATTCAATGCCCTTGGTTCAGGATTGAAAAAAAAAAACACCAAAACATATACACTTTAAAAAAAATATATTAGTCTGAGTTCAAAACCTTTACCGCAAAAACTCAGGCTCGAGGGAACGTCGGATAGAGTTTATCAAATATTCCAGCATCCAATTATGTCGGTGCTCTCAACCTCCAAATAATCGTCTAGCCGGTTAACGTTTTGACCCAGATCTGCATACCCCCACGAAGCCCAAAAAAGAGGTGAAGAGTGAAATTTGCGCCTGGAATTTGCAGCAGGCGAAGGAAACCAGAGTTTCGAACCCGTTAGCGTTTTGTTTATATAGGGGCTGGGGATCAAAACTATGTAATCGCGACGAGCTTCTGGAAGGTTCAGAAGGGGGAGAGCGAATTGGAGGCCGTTTTGGAAATTTTGAGTGTTTGATTTGGGAGGATGAATTCGTTGGTGGTCTGATTTGGGAGGAAGGGAGCACACTGTAGGCGGTGGTGGTCTGATTTGGGGAGGAAGAGACTGTCGGGGGAGTTTCTTATTAAGGACGGACGTGATATAATACGTCGTCGTTTTTTAGCTGGTGGAGGGTTGGGGTAAAAACTTTCTTTTTTTTTTTTGCAGAGAAGCGCCCTTCCATACTAAGTCGTTTGGGAAGGGGACATGGAGAAATTTTTTTTTGATTTATAATTATTTATTATCCCAATTAAAAAGATGATTCAACTGTGATACAAAAATGATGTCACGGGCCAATTGCTCGACCAATCAGATCGCAAGAAACTAATTGGGCAAGCGTGACTTTTATATTAAATTATTATTATAAAAACCAAATAATTAAAATCCCCTAACAAATTTTAGAAATTATTAGAACAATATGGAAAAATACCTAAATAGCACATGTTTCCAGTTATTCTAAATAATATAGTCCATGTGGAGATGATTCTTCTTGTAAAAGTTTTTCCGGTTATTGTTCCTAAATACCACATGTTTGTTGGCCATTCTTTTACCCCAACAAAAATGAGCAACTTCTAATTGAAATCTCTCCTTAGACAGAGAACAATGTCACGCTTTTCTTCCTCCATATATCACAAGCATCAATAAAAGCGGCCGGAACAGTCTACCGTACATAAAACGATATGTTCAGATTAACGACATTATGATTCCTTCAATAAATACATATAGAATACATATTACTACTGACTAACTAAATAATTTTATCCTAATGGTTTTGCTTGATGCTTATTTCAAAATATGGTTCCTCCACTACAATATACAACACACAATGGTTCATCAGCGATTTCTAAACAATATAATCCTCAAAAAAAATAACTCAAAAGATATTACATCAAGTACGCACGAAGTGCGTCGGCCCAACTAGTCGTTATTATATGTTAGTTCACTTACCAAATAAACTCTTCCATCTACACCTCCAAGAATAGTTTTATTATTATTATTTTTTTTTGGAGGATTAAAGGCAAAAGCAATATTGTGTCTTATGTCAATTCCGCGTTATTTTCTCATCTACAGATTAATAAATATGTGGCTCACGGTTGTTTTTTTTTTTTTTCCTTTTTTGTTTTTTAAAAAAATAGATATGACCAAAGCTCCCCTAATATACATGTGTATAACCAATTAGGGTTTCAGTGTGGTCAAAGTGAGAATATATATATATATATATTGTTTTGCGGCGACGACTCCTCTTACAATAGCCCCTCTTCCTAAATTTCCGCCACCATTGTAGTTTTTTTTTGTCAGATTCAGAAGAAAACAAAGAAGACGATGGTATCTAAATTATTGGATCAGCAACAAGAAGACTTGGAGATGGTGGTGCCGCAATCGGATTTCGTGGATTGCCCCGTACCCCTTGAAGAAGTAGAAGAAGAAGATCAACCCATGGAAGTTGAGCAGCAGCAACAAGAGAACCCTAATCCATCAGAGGACCATTGTGAAGATGCGCTACCAAGAGCGTCTCGGTTCAGGTGGACCATTGAAAACTTTTCCCTTTCGAGGAGGAAGCTTATTTCGCCGGAGTTCTCAGTCGCAGGATACAATTGGCGGCTGCTGGTTTTCCCAAGAGGGAACCTCCCGGATGGCTTCTTGTCAATGTATTTGGCTGTTTCCGATTCTTCGAGTTTACCATATGGATGGAGTTTCTGTGCCAAGTTTACCTTAGCCGTTGTTGATCAATTTGATGAGAAGTATTCTGTGAAAAGCGATGACAGCCACCGGTTTAGTCTTCGGGAGAGAGATTGGGGATTTCCAAGGTTTATGCCGCTTAGAGAACTTCATGGTCTGGATGAAGGGTACATCGTCGACGACAGGGTTGTTGTTGAAGCTGAGGTTGTTGTGCCGAAAGCGAGAGATTACTGGGGTTATGATTCGAAGAAAGAGACGGGTTTCGTCGGGTTGAAGAATCAGGGAGCAACTTGTTACATGAACTCTCTTTTGCAAATGTTGTACCATATTCCTTACTTTAGGAAGGCTGTTTATCACATGCCTACAACGGAGAACGATGCACCAGCCGGGAGCATTCCTCTTGCTTTGAAGACTTTGTTTTATAAGCTCCAGTATACCGAGACAAGTGTTGCTACAAGGGATTTGACTAAATCATTCGGGTGGGAGACGCATGATTCTTTTATGCAGCAGGATGTGCAGGAGCTGAATAGGGTCTTGTGCGAAAAACTCGAAGAAAAGATGAAGGGAACCGAGGTTGAAGGGACGATTCAGAAGTTGTTTGGAGGGCATCAGATGAATTACATTGAGTGCATCAATGTAGACTTCAAATCTACCAGAAAGGAGTCATTCTATGATATTCAACTTGATGTGAAAGGCTGCAACGATGTGTACGCTTCTTTCAACAAGTACGTCGAAATTGAACGTCTTGAAGGTGACAACAAGTACCAGGCTGAGGAACATGGTTTGCAGGATGCGAAGAAGGGTGTCCTCTTCACTGATTTCCCTCCTGTCCTTCAGCTTCATTTCAAGCGGTTCGAGTACGATGTTTCGCAGGACACAATGGTTAAGATTAATGATCGATATGAGTTCCCTCTCCAGCTTGACCTAGATAGGGAGAACGGCAAGTATTTGTCCCCTGATGCCGATAAGAGTGTCCGAAATCTCTACACACTTCATAGTGTTCTGGTTCATAGCGGCGGGGTACGTGGTGGACATTATTATGCTTTCATCCGGCCAAGTCTTTCTGATCAATGGTATAAATTCAATGATGATATAGTAACCAAAGAGGATGTGAATCAAGCACTGGAAGAGCAGTTTGGCGGTGAGGAAGTGTGGCCGGTAACGAATGAGAGCTTCAATAACAACAGTCCCATAGTGTTCACAAGATCCTCAAACGCATACATGCTCGTGTACATTCGAGAGAGCGATAAAGATAATGTTAATTGTGATGTGGATGAGAAGGACATTGCTGAACACCTCTGGAAAAGATTGGAGAAGGAGAAAGAAGAGGAGGAGGAAAAGAGGAGACTCAAAGCTGAGGCACACCTTTACATGAATGTCAACGTTGCTCGTGATGAGGACTTGAGAGAACAGATTGGGAAAGAGATATACTTTGACCTGGTTGATTTTAATCAAACTAGAAGTTTTCGGGTAGAGAACCAAATGCCTTTTAATCTTTTTAAGGAGGAGGTAGCAAAAGAATTTGGTGTACCTGTCGAATACCAGCGTTTTTGGTTGTGGAGAAAAAGAAGCAATCGCACGTACCGGCCTCTTCGACCATTAACACCTCAAGAGGAAGCCTGTGCTGTTGGTCAGATTAGAGAAGGTTCAACCAATTCTTGTAATCCGGAGTTTAACTTGTTTTTGGAGGTGGAGTACGATAAGGATTTACGTCCTGTTCCGTTACCTAAAATATCTGAAGAAGATATACTTGTTTTCTTTAAGCTCTATGATCCTGAAAAATCAGAACTTCGATATGTTGGCAGGTGCTTTGTGAAGGGTTATGGAAAGCAAATTGAAATCCAGGAAAAACTAAATGAGTTGGCTGGATTTTCGACAGGGGAAGATATTAGGATTTTTGATGAAGTAATGTTTGATCCGGATGTAATGTGTCAAAAAATTCCTAAAACCTCTTCATTCCATGAGAGCGAGATTGGAGATGGGGATATCATTTGTTTTCAGAAGCACTTGTCGCCAGAACAGGAAGATGGACTTCAATATCCCGATGTTGCTTCATTCTTAGACTACATTAAAAATCGTCAGGTTATACATTTTCGGCGCCTCGAAAGTCCCGGCGAGGATGACTTCTGCCTTGAGTTGGTAAAGAACGATTCTTATGATGATGTGGTTGTGGAAGTAGCGGACAAGCTTGGTCTTGATGATCCATCCAAAGTTCGGCTTACTCCCCATGATTGTTACTCTGAGAAACCAAAGCCTAACTCCATCAAATATCAAGCCGCCAACTTGTTAGATATGCTTCTCCATAACAATCAACTTTCTGATATTCTATACTATGAGGTGCTCGAGATTCCTCTGCCAGAATTACAAAGTCTGAAAACATTGGAAGTTGCATTTTATCCTACCACGAAAGGCGAGGTGTCAATTCTCAATTTCCGGTTACCAAAACGGAGTACTCTGGAAGATCTCCTCAAACTTGTCGAAACAAAGGTGGAGTTATCTGAACCAAAAGCAAAAATCAGGTTTCTTCATGTTATCAACCATAAGATATTCAAGATATTTTCTCTGAAAGAAAAGATTGGAAATATAGCTGGCACATTGCGCGCTGAGGAGATTCCTGAAGAGGAGAAGAACCTTGGTCCAACGGACCTCGTAGTTCATGTTTACCATTTTACATTGGGAAGATCACAATATCAGCAGGAAGTTCAGAATTTTGGGGACCCTTTCTTTCTAGTCATTCATCAGGGGGAAACATTAGCTGAAGTGAAGCCCCGGATTCAAAAGAGGTTGGGTGTTTCAGATGAGGAATTTTCGAAATGGAAGTTCGCTTTGATATCAATGATGGGACCCCCGGAGTATGTTGAAGACGATATTGTTATGTTCAATATTTTTCAGAGGAAAAATGTGTATGGTCCTTGGGAGCGTTACCTTGGATTGGAGCATTCTGTACCCAGCCGTAAAAGAACAAATCAGAATCGCGACAGTTACGAACATTCCTCTGTTAGAATATATAATTAGACTTCCATATCCAGTTTGTCGTGCACTTTTTTCTTAGACATTCTTATTTATAAGTAGTTGTTCCTTTCCTTTTACCATCTCTTGGTTTTTTTGCTGTGTTGATCAATTGATTCTTTGTGATTTTTCGACATCTATTCTGTGAAATGCTCTTGCTATTAGTGGTTGGCTGGTCTCTCACGCCTAGATAACTAGAGAACTAGTATTGGTTTTGATTACCTGCACGGTCCCTGTATAGCGTTTTGCTGATATGAATCTTTCATATGGACAAACAGGACGGATAAAGAATATGAAGGAACCATAACAAGGGAGTTGATTCATTCCTTCGAAAAAAAGAAATATTAATGAATAATTGATTAAAATTGTCGTTTCCTTTTTCCCCTTTAGGTTCAATTTTAGATTTCATTGCAGTTTTGGCCTCAACAACACTTTAAAGCAAATGAATCTTTAGAGGGATTACACCGGTTTCGTTTGCCCCACCGATTGGGATTTCATATTCATGGTATGTAAAAATCTCAAATTAAAGCAGTTGCCTCTTTCATTGTAAAACAATAAAAGAAAAAAATAATCTTTAGAGGGATAAAAAAAAATTGATGATGGGAAACCACCCATGACAACAATGAAAAGGGGAATTTTTGTTTGGGTTGCTAATGAAAGTTCATAAAGTCTCAAAACAAGAAGAGCCGACCGGTTGTATAAATTATTTGTCCGTAGCCAATTTCTTCGCCAGCCTAAATTAGTCTTCGTAAGGGCTTGAAGCAAAACTACATGTGTCTCAGCAACTAATTATAGTTAGACAAAGCTTCCGATAATAGTTCAATTTCTTTTTCTTTCCCATTCATCTGATTAGCTTGGATCTTTTATATGAATTTGAGGAGTTTCGTTTTCATCTATAAAGGTTTGATTAAAGCTTTGATTATTTTGTTATTTTAGGATTTTTCATTTTACATGAAAATAAACAAATACTCCCTCCGTCCCATAATTATTGTCCAGTTTTACTAAAATGAAAGATTTTATTTTTGGTCAAACTTAACTATATTTTACATTAAACAACCGGATATACCCCTACATAAGTAATTGTTTAACCATTAAGATTTTATGGATAATATTTTTTACTAAGAACAAATGTGTAACTTGATCCATAAAAAGTCAAATTGGACAATAATTTTGGGACAAAATTTTTTGGGCAAAGTGGACAATAATTATGGGATGGAGGGAGTATATGAAAGGCCGAGACAGGAAGGGAGGGGAACCAAAAAAAGAAGATAAGGAACTGTATACCAAAGGTCAGTTGATTCATTAATTCTAAAATTCCTTCGGAAATAAATTCTCAATAAATCATCGATTCAAAACTCGTCGTTTCCGTTTCCCCTGATAGGTTAACTTTAGAGTTCATTTCTTAAACAGTTTCGCATGAACAACACTTCAAAGCAAAATGAATTGTTAGAGTGAAAAGACAAATGACAAATGATAGGAAGTACCCCCACCCCCCAAAAAAAAAGGAACTTTGAAAACTAGAATTGCATTCAGGCATTCTTAATTGAGCTAAAGTCTCATAGAATTGAAAACAAGACATGGCAACATTCAATTCTGAAAGGAATTTTGTTTGTCACAAGTGAAAGTTAAAAAAGTTCCTTAACAAGAAGGCAAAAATGACAATGGATGCGAATGAAAATGACACGAAAAAAACATGAAAAATTAAAAATGTTTTCAGGAAACCATTTTTGCCTTCGCAGCAAAACCACACGTGTCTCAGCAACCTATCATAATTAGACAAACGTTCCTGTCGTCGTTCAATTTCTTTTATGAAACATGTATTTAGCTGGGGTCTTTTATATAAATCTCAGCCATTTTCATGTGTACAATTATGATTAATTAGCACATATTTTTGACTATTGTACGTACCACTTTTGTTCTCCGGTTGTGATAATGTGGGTTAGGGCAAGCCTTTTACTTTTTACACGTAACTTTGTTGTGGATGGCAGACTCATAATAGGGATAAGCGAATTAAAAATATTTCCTTGTTTTGTATGCGTCCTGAGGGCACTGAAGAAATGTCATCGTTCCATCACAATAGCTGCAATATTACGACATTATGCAAAACTTTACACTAAGGCGGCTATTCTTAATTTCTTCTTCATCGCCCCCTTTTTTTTTCCCCTTAATCATAACTAGATGCTAGGCCCGGACATCCAGGCCGATCTCTTAGAAATAATATTGTTACTAATTTGTAATTATAATAATTATAGTAATAATAATAATGATAATATATAGATTTGGATTAAAAAGAGTTATAGGAAAATAAGATGGAAAAATGGTAAATAATAGAATGATGTGGGTATAAAATAAATAGATCAAAGTCGGGGGATCACTTCCGTAAAATCGTGTTCTGCAAAAATATAAACGAAAAAAAAACGGGAAAAGGCATAACTTCCAGTCTTGTTCGTATCGAACAGATCTGGAAGGTGAACATTTCCTTTTCAATTTTAGAAGTCCGGCCATCAGATCTGATTAGTGTAAAGGCCTTCCAAATTCTTTCCATATGTTCATCCTTACCATCGTTACCATCTCTTCATCTGTTCATCTAGATTTATGTGTTTTCGAGGAAATCCAAACATTCATTCGGTTCAGAGAAGAATCATATCAATTGGAATAATCAGCATCATTGAAGGGATTGAAAGCTATTGAGGGGTTCGCAGATAAAGATGTTCTTGATTACAGATGGATATACGTCTGTTGCCGTGCATCTTCTATGATGGGATATAAATCGGTTCGTTGTATGTAGGAGTGTTCAATCAAAGCTTGTGAGCTGTAGTCATGCAAGATTCTGGTTCAGAAATCCCATTTCAATCTGTGCACAAAAAGTATCACTTCGATTGTACTTAAGGAGGTAATATTATTGACAGTGTCATATGGTATGCTATTTATTTTCCTTGACAGTTATGTATTTCAATCATTTATTTATTACAAATGTATGTTTGAACATGTAAATGGTGTTGTGCAGAATATCTTCGATGAAATGCTCAGTCAATGTTCTGTATGAAAGCTGGAGTTTAACATGCAAGATGGTATTTGGGCAATTTGTTTTTTGATGAAGTAATTATAAAGTTTTTTAACCTTTTGTTCTGATATTATTTAATTGACATGTACTGTGTTAAAGTACATATGTTTTTCTAATTACTGAGTATATTATTTTTTGTTTTTAAAAGTTAATTGAATGTTTGTATGTATTTGTTTGTATGGTGTGCATAATAAATTGTTATCAAGTGTGTGGTTAGAATGAATATTTTGAAAAATGATAATGATTTTAGAATAAGAAATAGCTTACAGATGTCATAATTTCCTTAAACCTAATATGAAGTTACCCATATTGCTGAAATCTTCCTGCATCAACTCTCCCCTGCTTGAAAGAAAACTAGTGCTCGAGTTTTACTTTGGGTTTTCCACTATCAAAAGGAATTCCAGTTAAGTACTGCAATGCCTTCTTTCTTCTCCTCCTCCAAACATAAAGAACTGGATGTCTTGGAAACCTCTTGAACCAATAAAGTATCTTCACTTTGAATAGAGATGCAGGTTTTAGTGTAAAAACGGGTTATTGGTTTGAAAGCAATCACATACAAAAAGAATAATGTAACATTGAACTGTTATTAAAAAGGAATTTAAAACAACTAATTTCACCTAACGTTACGGAGAGCTTCCTTGTAGACGACATTCATAGTTTTATTTGATCTTGTACCTTCACTGTCACAAATCGGCACTTTCAATCTTTTTTTAGATGTTACCCTTGACAGAGCCACGTATAACTGGCCGTGGCTAAAAACTGGTCATGGTAGATAAAGTCCAACTGTACAAAGAGACTGATCTTGACTTTTGTTAATGGGCATAGCAAAACATATTGCTATGGAAAACTGCCTCCTCTTCATTTTGAAAGGAATGTTCCTGTCAGATGGAATTATTTTCATCCTGGGAATAGGCACAACATGACCAATATTGCTTCCTGATATAATTCTCCCCTCTATCATGTAGCGTCCCATACGTGTAACCTGTAGTCTAGTCCCATTGCACATTCCTAACCTTTGATCAATGTTACGGAGTAGAATGATTGGAACATTACGTTTCAGTACCAATCTGTGATTGGGAAGACCTGAAGCCTTTACACTGTTGAGAAATTCGGGAGTGTATATACCCTGATCTGATTCACCTCCATGCTCAGAATTACACATACTGTCTGAACTGAGGCATTCACGTTCTTCGCTAGGTAATGGACTTGTCATGTAATCATCGACCTTATCAATAACTTCATGTCTTGGTCCTAAAATAGCTCTTTCCTGGAACCAGACAGGGTTTTCGAGGTTATTTAATAAGTTTGGATATATAGTCTTAACAATAATTTTGATAGGATCTCCTGGTTCCTGTATAATGACATCATCTGGGAATTCAATCTCAGCTTCACCATCATTTGGTTCATTTACCTTCTCCGATTTTTAGCAGCCAGTCAGCAAACTCACGTATTTCATCATGAATATTTGTTGTATAATCAACACGTAGCCTCATGTTAACAGTCAACCTTAGTACGTTACAGTGCCTCCATAAGTACAAAGAGTTTATTGCAGAATTGACAATGTCAGCTATTGTACCTTTTGGAATCACAGGCAATATCTGCCTGAAATCACCTCCGAGAACAACTTTACCTCCGAATGGTTGTTCTACACCTTCTGGATTTGTACGGCGTAATATATATCCTTTAATGTCCTGTCCAGAGCTTAAAAGCAATGTTTATGTGCCATCGATGCCTCATCCCGTATAATAAGTTTTGCTCTTATAACCAAAGCACACAAATCACTTCCTGGTTTGATGGTACATGTTGATTCTTCAGTAATATCAACTGGTATTTGGAATCTTGAGTGTGCAGTGTTTCCACCAACCAACACAGCGAAGCAATGCCACTTGATGCAACATTTAAGACAATTTCGCCTTCCATTCGAATGGCAGCGGAAAGTGTG